TGGGAAAGCCCAACCAGAAATATCTTTGTCAAGGACTATACCTTGGACATATCTTGGAGTCTATGGGTATTGCTTCTAAAGGAAAGAAGTATGGAGAAAGATACTGGCTATACTACTTATCCTCCAAAGGAGAAAACAGAGCCAGTGCCAGTACCACTGCAGAAGATAGCTCATCAGATAATGTCCTACTCATCCATATGGCAAAGACTACCAAAAGAAAGCAAGTGGTGTCCCCCTCTCCCTCCATTGAAGCACCACAGAATCTTGCCTTGGTATGTTTGGAAGAAGAAGAAGTCTCTGACCATGGAGAACTTCAAAGGAAGAAGAAGAGAAAGATCAACTCTTCATCAACATCCAAAGATGTCGATTCGGATGAGTTGAAGGAGAGGGAAACTGCTGAGGAAACCTCTATTCAAAACCAGAGCCCTCAACAATTTGAACAAGAAATCCCTCCAGTCCAAAGCCTTCCAACCTCATCTCAGCCTCATACAGATGACGCTAACAACAAATTCTGGCAGCTCTACTATAATTGGAGAGCTTGGAAAGTTGGAAATTCAGAAGAGCAACTGTTGGATTGGGACCAACAGCTGAAGAATGAAAAGATTATCAAGAAATGCCTAGGATTACCAGTCAACCACTGCTGTGAAGACATCTTGGATGACTACTGGGTATGGCAAAGGAACAATGAGGATCTGCATCTGGAACACTTGGCCACTACACCAATTTCAGACTTTGAAGCAGATGATGAAGATACTGCAGTCTACAAGCCAGTCTTCTCAAAAGCCACAGAAGATCAAATGGCTCCCACTTCTGAAGAAATAGCTGTTTTGGAAACAACTGCTGAGGATTTCCCTATCTTTACGGAAACCTCACCTGCGTTCGAAATGGTTCTGACTGAAACTGTTCAAGAGAAGGCAGCCTCTCCCCCACAAGAGCAGAACCAGGAAGCAACTGAAGAAGAAGAATTTCAGCGACTGATCCAATCTCAAGTGCTTGAGATCCTCACAACTCCTTGTGAGAACTTCAATCAGACACAACTTGAGATTCTGGAAAAGTCAGCAGAAATTCCGGAACAGTTAGCTATTCCAGAAATTATGGAGAAAGAAGTAGAAGTCCAAAGGCACTCTGGAAAAGCTGAGAGGGAATCTCAGATGGCAGAAGAGGAGGTCTCTCAAACTCCAATAGCCATTTTTGAAGAACCAAATGAAGCTGAAGATAGTGACTCACTCTCAAGATACATATCAAATTTTGCACTTGATGAAGCAGAAGGAGAATCTGAGAGGACACTAAAGATCACTGATGAAGAAGAT